CATCTAAAAGCATAATTTATAATAATCAAAATTTCAACCAACCTAGAAAACACAATTTGACACAAATGTCAGTAATCACAATTTTGAATCCATAAGTATGCGATCCTAGGTATGGACCTGTGGAAAAAGGTCAGGAATATTAGTTTCTAACATTCAGATTTCATCAACTATATTTTAACCCCTAAGTGGAATTTTAGAAGACTGTAGTATCATTTGTTCCCAGCAGCGGCGGAAGTATAATAACGAACTAGGTGAAATTCGTGCGTATGTCGTGAGTTTGGCCGTAATTACCGAAAGGAAAAGAAATGCATGAACAGCTTAATCATACGAATGAATGCGTCCCCTAAGTGCCGTTCGAATACCGAAAAGATTAATACAGTAGAAAGTGAACGAACGGTCGCGTTCGTATAAATAAACGAAATAAACATGTGATGCATAGGTGGATATGTGTATGGGAATTAGCCGAACGGCTTGAGTGTTTGAAATACATGAAAGAAAAACACGAACAGAGCCCCGCCGTGAAAGGTAGAAATTTTGCGGCTGTTGATTTACAAAGGGGGCAGACTTACAGTTAAGCCCGGTGTTGGAGCTGAGAACGGGCTGCGTGGAGAGTGGCAGAAGCAGGGAAGCACCGGACCAGGAGACCACAAGGAATACAGGTAAGGAATCAAAAATGGCGGTCTGAACTGGAAGTAAACGTTTCAGACTCGCCAGACCAGCAACGGTAAGGTGAGAGTGGATTGGCAGCCCTTTTAAAGGGGAATCAAGCCCCTCCCACAACTACAGGCCAAGCCTTTAAAAATATATAGTGATGGTATAGGCTTTTATATTTGGTTTTCTACAGTCAAGAATGATATTATAGTTAGATAATTATTGCTTCCATTGTCTTCTCTGCCTGGGTTTTGTCAGGTGATTTGTGTTTATAAGGAATCAAGGTAAACACTGACCAAAAGTAGTGTTTATAAAGAATTGGCTCTCCTTTTCTGTTTAGTGGTACCAGGTAGTATTATGAAATAGCAAGAACAATATTTATTTCCAAACTGGTTGGTTGACTTGGTGAGTTCTGTATTTTGGTAAAGCAAGCTCAAAATTATATGAAGGTAGCAGCTGCAGGAATACCGTAGTAAGAGACCAATCACTTCCGAGTTATGAAAGACATCTATTTTCTAAATATTTCAAGTTCTGAAGTTTTTGTTTTTAAAGTATGGGTGGGGTGTCTTTGTTTCAGCCCTGAGGTTCAGGGCATTGGTCGCTCAGAGTATGTTTTGAGCAAGTTATGGGGTTTCAAACAGACAATGAAAAACATTTTTAGGAATGTCTAAACTAAACAGACTCAAGAGAAGGTGTTGCGTTCTGCTATGTGTACTGACCAGTTTGTCTAATGCTGGCAGCTCACCAATTCCCAGAATAACATACAAAACACATAACAATAATATTAGTAGTAGCAACAGTTTATGTTTAAATAAAAGGGTCAGTCTAAGCACCAGAACAAGATGGTACAGGGTATACCTTCTACCTTCTCTCGTAAGTAAAAGTGCCCTATAACTGCACCAAAACGTGGACCAAAAACACTGCAGTAGTAAGCCTGCCCAACAGAGCTAAACAATCCACCACGTAGTCAGGATATCCCAAACATGGTCCCCTCCAGACACACGATGCTCCAAGTGGAGGACCACAAACTGCCAATGGAATTTGTTTTATTGTGAGAAAGGAACCGCCTGTAGGGCAATGTTTCTGCTATGAAGCCTTAACCGTGCATTAATAAAGCTTCTTAGCCGAAACATTGCAATTGCGGTGTCCTCCACATAAAATCTATTGTAAGTTAATGTTGCACAGCTTTCTTTTAATTCTTGTTAACCCAACAGAGCTGTCAGTCAGGCAGTGAGAACTCTTTATTCTAAGCCGCCTATATTTATTTTTTTCCATGCATAACTTGGACTGAGTCATCATGCCGTGAACCAGTTCTAGATATTGCAGCACACAGTCTGTTCACTAAATGACTTCAGAGCAATTAGACCAAAAAAAGTTTTTTTGTTTTTTTTTTAAATGGCTGCCTCCATTGCTGAGTGCAGAGGTCCACCCAAACTGTATATCAACAACGCCAACTTAGAAAATTCAGCTGATGAGAAAATGGATGTTTACACGCCAAGAATGGAATTTATAATGGAGAAAAGAATTGTAGAATTTCCAGCATTGGTCATTCTGATGGACGTTGCTAGATCGGCAGAGCTACAAATATTACAAAAAAATAATAATAATGTAATTGACCTTTAAATGTGCTGAATGTATACAGCTTTGTGTCAACATCTAATGCACACTACTTTATAGGTGTATTGCTGTTAATACACCCAATATCCTCACAGCTCAATCTTTTTCTATTCATAAACAGGGTTATACATAGGACACGAGGTCACACATTTAGGCTGGAAGAAAGGAGATTTCATCTAAGGCAAAGAAAAGGTTTTTTTACAGTAAGAACAATAAGGATATGGAATTCTCTGCCTGAAGAGGTGGTTTTGTCAGAGTCCATACAGAGGTTTAAACTGAAATTGGATAAATACTTACAAAAACATAACATACAGGGATATAATTTCTAATTAGTGGGGTAATAGCTGCTTGATCCAAGGAGACATCTGACTGCTATTTTGGGGTCAAGAAGGAATTTTTTCCTAGTTTGTGGCAAAATTGGAAGTGCTTCAGACCAGGTTTTTTGCCTTCTTTTGGATCAACAGCAACAACATTTGTGAGGAAGGCTGAACTTGATGGACGCAAGTCTCTTTTCAGCTATGTAACTATGTAACTATGTAACAGTTTCAGTTACGGTATTGGGGTGGCTCTTCTCTGGGTTTCCCCTTAGACAAATTAGTGACAAATACAGAATGCTGCAAGGTATAGTAATAGAGCTATTAAAGGCTGCTTCACACAGATTGGAGAGCTGGTCAATCATGACAATTTCCCATGTGTTTACTAAATGGTTATTTATTATGCTCTCCTTAATGGACCTTCCATTGCTTTATGTTGATAATTTTAAAGGGTTTACCTTTACAATATGTACAACCTATAATTACATATAATTATTTATTTTAAATGTTCCTGACTTTTTTTGTGTTAAAGACATTTCACAATGGCCCATTATCTCCTGGTGAGCAGTGCAGTAAGGAATGTTATCTAACAGGAAGGACATCATTTACTGACACTCTCAGCCAATTAATTCAGTCCTAATCAGAACAAAATTTTTGATGCTAAAGTGGAATGGGAAAAAAAAAAAATATAGAAGGGACGAGTTACCCAGGTAAGTGTCAAATCAAACCATTCAAAACCTTTAGACTGCTTACCATGGGACAACAAAAAGGAGACTCATGGCATGGACTTCCACGCATTGCAGTGCTTATAGTGGCCCAGTGCTCACACTGCCCATTAAAAATCACTCTGCCAACGCATACTGCGCCTTATAAACTCCCCTGCATAACGGTAATAATAGAATTCCAAATTAATCACTCCAGCTTCAGCCTTTGGATATTAAAGTCCAGTGGGACATATTGATTAAGACATTAATTATGGCTTATAGAGGTGGATAGCATGTACTGACCGACATGGGGATAAAATGTTGATTGTTCAGTTTGTACGTCTAACTCTTTGCAAACCAGTGTACCATTGGACACAAAGTCTGTGTGTGGATTCTGACCAGTGTTTAGCATTGTTTTATCTTAACCCAGGTTCGAGACAATACATACCCTGGTTTCTATACTAGGACTACAATCACTTGCTTTTAATTCCCAGTCTTATAGCAAGTCTGATAAATATGCCCAATGTTACTTGAATAAAAAAAAAATGTAAAAAAAAATTTCATGACCAAGATTTTAGGCAAATATCAGTGTCCCAAAAATCATCATACAAGAAAAAAGGTAAAATCACAACCTTTAAACATGGCACTTATCACCCGAGTACTGAGATTGAGGATTTGTGTGCCATTATGGAACACACACACATAAAGCAAAATATAAACATGGCCCTTTGCTTAGACTGAAATGCATTTCACTTCCAAAAGTTGAGATCTCCAAACTTTGCCTCAAATTGCCTTTCCTATATCTTACTCTCAACTTTACCTTAGTCTTTGGGTCTTCTTTCATCCTATAGTGCCCTCTTCATACCTTATTTCCCTAATTCTCCGCTCCCAGTTCTTCACATTTTCTAGCTGCCTGTGGCTATGGTAAAATGTAGTTTGATGGCAACATTTGGCATTGGAATAGCATTTCTACTACTTAAAGGGACACTATAGTCACCAGAACAACTACAGCTTATTGAATTTGTTCTGGTGAGTAGAATCATTACCTTCAGACTTTTTGCTGTAAACACTGTCTTTTCAGAGAAAATGCAGCGTTTACATTACAGCCTAGTGATAACTTCACTGGCCACTCCTCATTTAGCTGTTAGAGATCCTTCCTGGGTCATGGCTGCCTAAAATGGTTCCAAACATTCAGTGTCTCCACCCTCTACATGCAGACACTGAACTTTCTTCATAGACATTCATTGATTCAATTCAGCTCTATGAGGGGATGCTGAATGGGCCAGGGATGTGTTTGAATCATGCTGGCTCTGCCCCTGATCTACCTCTTTGTCAGTCTCAGCCAATGCTATGAGGAAGCATTGTGATTGGATCAGACTACCACTTCTAATGATGTCAGCAGACTGCTTGTTTTTATGAGTCTAACAGCATGCAGAGTTACAGCTTCAGTCTTGAACACAGTAAGATTTTTTTTTTTTTTTTAAACTATATTTATGGAGGCATGAGGGGCCAAGGGGGCTAGATGGTGGTGTTAACACTATAGGGTCAGGAACACAGGTTTGTGTTCCTGAACCTATAGTGATCCTTTAAAGAAGATCTTTTTACTTTGATGAAGATACACTTTTTTGGAGCACAGCTGCATAGTTTAACTCTATATTTATTGCTCCTTCTGTAGCAAACACATTTTTAAAAAATGAAAAGAAAAAAAAAAGAATTACAAGTGAGAAAAACTTTATAATGTTTTTAATTTGCACTCAAATATATCAATTTACCCCACACTTTCAGCAAACCATATCTGCTATGCTAAAAGAAAAAAAAAAAAAAAAACCCTCTTAATGTCCTGTTGCTAGGGACCTTGCAGTTACTTTAAAATTGCCCCCCACCCCATATTCAATAAAATCTATTTTTCGTCCCTCTCTTACCGCACAATGCAGAGAGCATTCTTATGTAACATTAGAAACACAAACAAGTTTCTCGAACATTTTTTAAATTATAGATTCATTTTAAGGAGCACCATTACCAAGATATCGCTATGTACCTCCAGTTGGGACGTTCTTGGTCTGCAAGGCATAATTATAGGATGGTGGGGGTCCCCAAGCTTGAGCTCAGAGTGTACCCCAAATGGAATGCAGGGGTTCATTCACATGTGCACCCCCTCGAAAACTTATTGTTGTGCCAGTATCACCAATATACTTCCATGTAATCATTGTTATTTTCCCATTCAAATTATCTATAGCATAAACCAAATTACTTCAACATAAACAGGATTTAAAATGGTGCAAATGGTTCATGAATAAAGTGAGCCTCATCATTCCTAAGTTTAGTTAATCAAGCAAAAGGATTTAATCATTCATATAGGTATAGGGAATTTACGACACCAAGGCAATCCCTTTCTACCCTATCACAGCCAATAGTTGGGTGATAAGATGAGCCTGTATCCCGCTGCAATGTTGATTTGTAAATAGTACAGCCCATTCTTGGAGCACAGTAGAGAGTAGATGACTTCATAGTTCAAACTGTTGCAATTCCTTTATCTACAGTTCATTCCACCCCTATCAGGTCCTAAAAAAAAAAAAAAATAGATTGCAGGAGAGATTTTGTAAAAGTATATTCCTTTTCTGGCCTGTTTGAAAGTAGCAGACTTTGTGATGTTATTTCCAACTTTTTGGGATCAAACCGTTTTAGAGTTAAATATATGACAGACTCAACCAATCCTTTTAGATTCGGTCTACAGCAAAGATAAGGTAAGCAAAGGACACGTGGTGGAGAAGCTTGCATACTTCTCAGCTGGGCCTCCAGCTTTAGGGAGCAAATGAAATGTATTATTTTTTTATGAGTATCTATGCATATACCACCATGTGCAAATCAATACTAAATTGTCAGTGAACCATAAAATACATATTGGCCTGATATGAATGATGTTCTCATATAGCCATATTGTCCTTGTTAAAAGAAGTAATATTTTGAATTCAGTCAAGACCTAATAGATAAAGATTTAAAAAAAACAAAACACAACCCCAATCATATACACATTTTTAAAATCAAATGGCAAAAAAATATTGTGCGTGAAGCTCACATGGTACAACGAGGAACTTCAATGTTACCAATGACCAGAAAACAAAATGACTCTAGGTGTAGGAATTAACATTGTATTTATAAATTACTATCCCGGTATTACAGGAAACCTCAAAATGTATTATCCTGAAATAGAATGGCGTGCCTCATCCTATGAAATCACTGCATGAAACAAAGGAAAATGGCCATTTCCACACCTAGTGTCACTTTGTGCCACCAAACATAGAATCTCCGATGGGATATGTGACTCCTGTTAACTTCTAGTGGTGCCACGGTGAACTAAGTACTAGTGCTTGCTCATGACCGCAATGCCAGCATTGTGTCCTACAATCAACAGGGTGAAGATACATTTGTATCATTCACACATGTGATGTCATCCAACATATAGATGTAGTTTGAGAAGCTTATTCCATAAACTAAATGAAGAATTTGCAGGACTAAGCGTAGTTAATCCCATAGAGCATTGGTGATCTGATACAGAATTAATGTTTAAGTTCCCCCATATAGTACTGAAATTGCACCAGTCCTAAAGGTCCTGCGTGACTCTCCACCTGAATTGAACAACTCTTCATTTTATCGTCCATACATGCCAAAAACCAAGAAGCTGAAGAACACTGTCACACCAACCAATGAGACTGTGGCAGGCGCAGTGAAAAACTGACGGTAGTTGATCCGGAAATACCAGATCAGAGCCAACATAACCACAAAGACTGGGATCATCAGGTTCCCGATGGGGGGTGCAAGGCCAGCATGTTCTGGAGAGGACCCCCCTGACTCAGGGCCAGCTGGATTGGACTGGACGGTAGCCTGAGAACGGTGGCAGTGAATAACACAGTTGTCTGTAATGTGGAGGGAGCGAAGGGTTTGAGAGGAGTCGTGGAGAAGTTGACCCTGGTAGATAAGCTTCATCAGTGACTCCTGACCAGGAAAATATTTACTGTAATGGTAAAATAAAGAGAAAATGCATTAGGAGACAAAGGGTAAAGAAAAAGTAAAACAAGGAATTATAGAAAAGAAACTTCTCTACTTCAGACGTTTCTAGAGCTTCCCAAGTCAACCTTCCAATAAGTTCATTATTTTATATTAAAGATCTACGACGTCTTCCAAAGTAACATGGATACATCAGTTTTATTAAGTCTCATATGTTTCAGTTTATTTGGAGGCTCACCTGAAGCACCAACATTCATATTCAAAAGCCCCCACCCCAAAAAAAACAAAATAAAAACAGCAATATACACAGAGGAAAGAATTGTCACATATATAGATTACAAAAATGCTTTACTTGCAAATCTAGTTATCATTAATTATATACATTTTACAGTTGCTTAAGAGTGTTCTGAGTGGCTCTGTCCCTGTCTGGGGGTCTAACCCCCCCACCCCACCTAATAGTGATTGCTACACTTTGCAGTGACCGGTGGGTGCACAGGAAACTGTTTTACTGACCCAAAGCTGTCCCTCGTGGCCACTGCCATTTAGTCCGGTGGGTCCTCCATATCAGTCTTGTACTCTTGTGCATGAGCAGAGTACAACACAGAGGTCTAAGGAGGATCCTGTTAAATTGCAGGGATCTCCATAGACTATGCTTCCCCCCTCCTCTCCCACCCCTAGCCATCACTGAAATTCTAATACAGTTAATATAAGTATTTCATAAAAGAATTTAGGAATTGACATAACTGCGAATCACAATGGATGTATTCTTAAGTTATCTCCTCTTCCATCCAACCCCAGCACACCATCCAAGTTTACCTTTTCAGAGTTCCAATTGTGTCATCGGGTCTCACCAGGGCCACCTCTTCAGAGTCATTCAAGAACTTGAGTCTAACTGAGATAAGTAATTCTTCCGGTTGGGGCTCTTCTACGCGTTCTTTTGTAAGTTCCTGTCCCCCAGCAATTTCTTGCACGGTCTGCTCTTCCACGCCAAGTTCTTGCATACAGCTTTCATCCTCTTCTTTGCCAAGATCCTGTCCACTCTCTTGGTCTCTGCTATGTTCTAGCCCCTCATCTTGCCCAACTCTGTTCTCATGCGTTTGTTGAGGCACAGAACGGTCACGGTTTGGCACTGCCTGGATATCCAGCATCTCGTCCAGGTTGGCACTATCATTGCCTGCACCCTGTTCGTCCCCTGAACCTTGCTCTCCTTCTTCTGGTTTTTCCACTTGAGGCTCTGGAGAACGTTGAGGTTCAGGCGTGGGAGGAGCTGAGTTACTTAGTCCTAGGACAGGCTCCCTGCGCCCAATAGGCATTAGGCTACCCAGAAGTGGATCATTCCCTTCTGCCACATAAGTGGACAACCATGCTAGGATTAGTGCCAAGAATAAGATGAAAATCCCAACTGCTACAGTCACCTCATCACCAAGGCCCTCTATCATGGTGGGAGGGGGCAACTCCATCCCCATTTCCTGTGGCAAAAAAAAAAAAAGGGGGACAAAAAGGTGAACATTGTATTGTAAACAACCAAGCATACACCAAAAGACTAGCAATAGAGTCAAAACCTCTGCCCTGGCCCATATTTATATAGTGCTATGTCCAGGACTGTACCCCTCTATACAATAACGGACATATAGCTCATGGATTAGTTAGTTATGCATCAGGTCATGTATTAAGAATGGGGGGGGGGGAGAAATGAGTGGGGGGATGGTGTGTGTGTACACATATATACACACACACACTTTTGACAACAAGCCAAAATACATTGAAATTAAAGGACCAATTTGACATAAATTGGGGCTATCCTAGGGGACCACTTACTATCCTATATTAAGCTACTTCAGTAAAGCAGAATTTATGCTACTGCCATATTGTACATTTTATCCAACTTTAAGGTAAATTTAGGTTAAAAACACAGAGGACCGATGCGTTAGTGACCAAAGTATTAACAAATTTATAGCGGATCTGTTAACCCACCTCCCTAAAAAAATAAATACAATTTCATAAAGATAATATGCTTATGAAATCCTTATTAACGGTGTTGGATTTTCACTGAAATTACAACACAGCCAAAGAACATCATAAAACAAAATAAGGAATAATTGGTCTTAAAGGACCACTATAGTGCCAGGAAAACACACTCTTTTTCCTGGCACTATAGTGCCCTGAGGGTGCCCCCACCCTCAGGGTCCCCCTCCCACCGGGCTCTGGGGAGAGGAAGGGGTTAAACTTACCTCTTTCTCCAGCGCCGAGATCTCCTTCTCCTCGTCAGCTGAATGCGCATGCGCGACAAGAGCCGCGCGCACATTCACAAAGCTTTCCTATAGACGCTGGCGTCTTCTCACTGATTTTTACAGAGACAGCCACTGGAGGCTGGATTAACCCATTTATAAACATAGCAGTTTCTCTGAATGTCTATGGAGGCACCCGCAGTCTCACTGAATCTTCCACAGATATCAGTATTGTACTCATACATGTGCATGAGTACAGCACTGACGTGGGCCCCTGGCAAGCAAAGCACCAGGCACATAAAAAAAAAAACAACAAAACAAACGCCCACAGGGGACTGCATCCACAAACATTGCATCTCCAGGCCACCGCACACCAAAATATGCAAATATGCCAAAAGGTGACAGAGCAGATTTAAACAGATTGCACGGTGTGTAACTTTGTGAGTGTGTGTCAATTTTTTTTTATTTTTTATTTTTAAAAGCATTACCTTTAATCTATACAGTACTGGACTTTGTCTTTTAGGACAAATGCACATTTAGCTTAGATAATAGAAGACTTTAGAACTGTAAAATCTCTTGCTCTCTCCAAGAGAACAAACATAAAATTTGTTGCCAATGGTTTGACAACCGTTCTTACCTGGAGTCGGCTGCTCTATGACTCCTTTACAGCTGGAAGCTCTCATCAATGACCTAAGCCCAGCAGCACAAAGCTTAGCTTATTGGCCGAGAGCAATCTGTAAGTCTTAACTCAGGAAAGCTAACCGGAGCACCTAGTAGGACTTCTATTAATAGGACTTATATTGGGGAGGGTGTCAGGGCACCATAACAACTACAGCACACTTTGAGTGTTCCATTAAAGGGGAACCATAACTTCTCTGAAAATTACACCACTGTAACTTTATATATTTTATTACGTAATGCTGTATTAAAAAAAAAAAAAAAAATACAAAAAAGTGGGCTGAAGTCATTTGGCATGGTATTCCTTTTGAGGGAAAAGCTATTTTTAAAAAGTTTTTTTAACCTCAAAGTTAACCTCTTTGCATCCTCCAACACCATTCAGTCCAGGAAAGTTTGCCATTGCAGCTGGTGACAACCTGAGACCGTCAGCCTGTCACTACAACAGCAAACATTCCTGAATTGAACAATAACCAGAGGAGGCAGTGCTGACAGGGGACCAACTTCAAACTTTAACTGAAACGGCAGCCATGCATTACAATCCACATAACTTCACAGAGATAAGTTGTCATGGGGTGGGAGAGTTACTTTACATTTATATTAACAGTTGGGCAATGGACATTAGCCAGTTCAGACCAAAAACATTCAGGGAAAACAATGCAAATGAGCATAGAAACATTGCTTCGATTTATTCTCGACCACCAACCTCAATGGCAGACAAAGGGCAAATTTTATAATGTTAAGTGACAGTGTGCCAAGATGGAATCGCCCAGTTCCAGTATGTAAGGAGTGAAATACAGCAGTGTAGAAGCAAGCAAATACATATTTGCTTAGGAATAGGCAACCTTCGGCACTCCAGATGTTGTGTACTACATCCCCCACAATGCTTTTACACCCATAATGCAAAGCATCATGGGAGGTGTAGTCCAAACATCTGGAGTGCCAAAGGTTGCCTATGCTGTAGTCACCAGAACTACAGCTTAGCTTAATGTAATTCTAGTGTGTATAGCCTGCAGGATTTTTGCTGCAAACACAGCTATTGCTGCCTAGGAACACCTCACGTGGCAGTCACTCAGACGGCCACTAGAGGTGCTTCCTGAGTCAGTGCTGCACAATGGTGACATCCACCTAACAAGTTTGTATTCCTGACCCTATAATGTTTCCTTAATATAGGTGATAAGAGCACCCCTTGGGGACTCCTCAAACACACCACCATAGATAGAAACAAACACAATCTACTGGGGACACACAGCGCAGCCTCTCCTAATCAACTCAGTTTTATATATTGTACAGCGCTGCGGAATATGTTGGCGCCTTATAAAACCATAATAAAAAGGACCCCAAGAAACAGAACATTACAATATTCACAAGACATATAAACAAGCAGCCATAAACTAGGCTGGCCAAAGGCATGGGGGGGGGGGGTCACGTGGAGGTCCATGACGTCACACTGGCCAGCATAGCATGGCAGACAATGCTGCGTGACGTCATTCAGTATGACGTCACGGGTATCCAGGCATTGGGGTGCCCTGTACCCCCACATTCAGCACTCTGCTGACCCCGCCCCCACTGCAAAGCAGCTTCACAGGAGAAGGGGGGGTTCACCCTGCCTCTGTGACGTCACACCCTCCACGTCACGGCCTGGAAGAGAGGGGGGGCGAGGGTGACGTCACAGGTAAGGAAGGTAACGATGTCACTTACCGCCGGCCACCTCGGGGGGAGGGGGGGGGAGAGAGGGGGGTCCTGTCAGACCAGGGGGCCCAGCCCGACACAGGAAGGCGTTGCGTCACGCCAGGCACGACTGGAGAAGGTCTGACAGCGTGACGTCAGAGAGCGGCGCCGGAAGTAGGGACTAGCCAAATCGGAAACGGGGGAGGGTCATTACCTTATTTATAGTCACTGGGTGAGCGCGGACTGTGATTGGCTGCAGGAACCGGCTAACCTGCCATGGCAACACCACTGACCCCCCCCCACCCCCCCAGAGAGACCCCCACTGACAGCCACATAGTGAGACCCCCCCCCACTGACAGCCACAT